GGAGAAATATGAAGCTCTGCAGGCGAGCTTTGAGGACAAGCTGAAGCTCAGCATCATCCAACATGAGGTCAGCTCCAAGGAAATAGAGAATCTGCAAAAACAGATGATAAAGTCGGAGGAGAAGCGGTCTATCGAGCAAGAGGTGTCCCTCCATAAAGTAAACAAGCAAGAAGAAGAAATATGTTCTCTGATCCAGCAGAACATTAAGCGTCAGGTAAGTTACATCAGCTCATTGTGATTTGAATCTTATGGATCGTCGGTTTGACTTTGAAAAAGAAAAAGAGTGAAACTTATATTGTCTCTGTCTTTTCAGGAACTCCTATTGATGAATGACAAGCAGAGGATGAAGAAGGAGAAAAAGGAGAAGAAGGAAAAGGGAGAAGTAACAATGAGAAGGAAGTTCTCCAGTTTTGCTCTCAAACTCTTCAGATAGTCTTAATCTCTTCTCCAGTCCCTCCTCTCTCTCTGCCCTGTCAATCACCCCCTCATCCCAACTCCCCCCACTCCCTTACCCCTGATACCCCCTCCCCACCCTATTCCCTCCCTAATCCCCCCCTCCTTTCCTACCGTCCTTACCCTCCCTCCCTCCCTTTCTTACTGTCCACTCCAGACTGACATTTCTTACTCTGCAAACATCATCTCCCAGCAACGTCACAAAACCTTGGTGTGATGTAAAGAGGAAATTTGTGGAGTTGACTCGACACAGACAAAAGGGAAGGTTGCATTAGTTAAAGTAAAATTAGATTATGCAGCAGAAATTATATATTTTATTGAAGGAGATTCTAAACAAAGAATAMAATCACAAGAGTCACAGACATTACAAAAACAAACACATTTTTGAATAGGCTCAATTTCATTTTAATGATCAGTAGAGCTGCAACGGTTCACAGATCAGTTGGAAATTTGAAAATATTTTTATAATCACATAATTTTTTTCAGTGATGTCATGAGCAAAATACCAAAAATCTGCAGGTTACAGCTTCTTCCGTGTTTGGATTTGATGCTTTTCTTTATTGTGTATGGCAAACTTTGAACTTTGAACTTTTTTGAACTGCTTTGAACTGCTTTGAACTTCTTTGAACTTCTTTGAACTCTGAACAGATCAGAGCCAATTTACTGAGCTTAAAAGAGTGACATCTCTGAGTGGAACCACAGAAACGACAATCGCGAGTCAATGACAGACACACGAGAAACATCTCTCCTGCGACTTCCATTGACCACCTTTGACGACATTGACAAGACAACAGCTACGCTAGTAATGGCTTCTCCAAACAATCGTACAATGCTACAGGCCCTCATCGAAGCCCTCCTGGTTTTGAAGGAGGAGAACTGGGAGCTGGAGTCTGAAAACCTTGCCCAGGTGGATGAAAATGCCCCCCTGGAGGAGCGGATCACCACCAACAACCTCCCCTGTGAACTAAAGAGAAAGATAATGGAGCAGATGATGTCTTCTGTCTCACTTCTGTTGAAGTCCAGTAGGGACTTGACCACCTTGATTCAACATGTGGAGTCTGCAAAGGCCAGAGAGAAGGAGCTGGAGAAGAAGCTCA